TATGTCTCTAGTATCCAGCTGACATTCATTAAGGGATTAAATGAGTGAATGGTAATTCACACAAACTCTGTTTTTCCCTATGGTAAGTAAGTTACAACATTAGAGGAAGTGTTGGATTTATTTTACTTAGTTGTTCCTTGCCCTTCTATGTATAGATATCTTCCTTTATTTACATAATGTAGCTAGCACCTCCTTTTATTGCCATAAATAAAAATAAATATTATGGTTATTAAATAATAATATCTCTTTGTAGTTTCTCTCAAGTTTCCAAATATCTAAGTAGCAAGAAACAAAAAAGGGATGGGGTAGAATATGCTTGGGACTTAATAAACCTAGATGGACTAGTTGAGTATTACCCTGAAGATGGATGGTAGGTTTTTCTGGGCAGTCAGTGTGGGTAAAGAAAGTCCTTTTTGAATAAAGCATTAGAAATACTTTCAGGAACGAAAACCACAAGAAACACCACTGCTGTGGAACTAAACCACTGAGTTTCAGAGGTGGAATAACTGTAGTTCACACTTTAAGCTATAGCGCCTAGAACTTGAGAGTTTTGTGAATGGCCCCACAGGCAGCTTTCAGAATTGATGGAGATGGCTTCTATATTTGTGAAGTGGCAGCAAGAATACTAAACACAGCTCTCTAGAAGGTGATTTGGAGGGAGTCAGGATACTTCATTACCTTAAGATAAACCTCCTATGCGCCAGGGAGGTATGTCAGAGACACCAACATATCACTATTCTAGTGATGATCACGAAGTCCACAAGCATCAGGGTGATCAAAGAGTTTGTAAATCCATTATATAAAACAATTCATTTGCCCCTTCCCATTCCTGGGGTCCATGCATTTTTCCCTTAGAGTCCTTCTTGTTTCCTAGTTTCTTTGGTAAAGAGGATTGTAGGCTAGCATTAGGGTAGGGGAGAGGGAGCTGCCAGAATGAGAGGAGAGGAGGAAATGGATGAGCAGAAATACTGAGTTGGGAGACTGAGGGAGGAGAGCAGGATGAGAGATACCCTATTAGAGGGAGCCATTATAGGTCCAAGGAGAGATCTGGCACTAGGGAGATTTCCAGAGACCTACAAGGATGACAAGAACTGACAATCTAGGCAATGGTGGAGAGGATAACCTAAACGCCCCTCCCCTATAATGAGAATGATGACTACTTTTTATGCCATCCTAGAGCCCTCATCCAGTGGCTGATGGAAGCAGAGGCAGACATCCGCAGATACACACTGAACTGAACTCTGGAACTTAGTTGCAGAGAGGGAGGAATGAAGATCAATGGGGACGGTACCAGGCTGATGAAACCCATAGAAACAGCTGGCCTATATAAGGGGGAGCACATGGATCCAGATGCTGTCTGGGAGGCCAGTACAGGACTGATCCAGACCCCTGAATGTGGATGTCAATGCCTCTGCACTCTAGGGGGCCCCTGGTAGTGGATTAGTATTTTTCCCTGGTGTAAGAAGGGGCTTTGAGAGCCCATTTCACATGAAGGGATGCACTCTAAGCCTGGACACATGGGGGAGGGCCTAGGCCCAGCCCAGGATGATGTAGTGGACTTTGGGGAGCCCCTGTAGAGGGCACCTACCCTGCCTGGGAAGTGGAGGGTGGATGGCATAGGGGGGTAGGTCTGGGGTAGGGGGTAGGGGTGGGGAGTAGGGGAGGGAGAGGGAAAGGGAGAGGGAGAGGGAGAAGGGATTGACATGTGAAACAAGTTTGTTCCTAATTTGAACTATTAAAAAAATTACAAAAATAAACAATTCATTTGTGATAATAGGTATTGTCTTTAACACATACATAAGCAAGGACCTTCATTTTCTACTTCATTTGGGGGCAGAAGATAAGTTCCTCAAAGGTGGAAAAAGCAATTTTCTAAAAGTTACACAGTCTTTGGGTTCTGTAAGACAGGTCCAGGCAACAAACCACAAAGATGGAATCAAATTTCCTAAGACTCTTAAGGTCTTCTATAACACGGAGATCTGTTTGAAAGTATGTGGTTCTCAGGAGTTATCATTTTAGATAAGGGATAAACCTTTGCTTTAATCGGCATGCCTCCTTTGTTTAAGGAACACTCCCTTTCCTATAAAACTCAGTGATTTAAGTAGTCTTTTAGATGAAAGACTCAAGTTGAGACTTTAAAGAAAAATCAGTGACTGAAAAATTTAGCATATTACTTGTATGCTCCATTTTTTTTTTGTTTAAAAGTCCAAACTATGAGTTGGATCTACAGCTGTCATATAAGTCATTGGGGAATGTGGTTCCTATAAATCAAACACACTAAAATGAACATGAACATTGGCTCTTTTAGGTAGACTAGAATGAGCTGAGTTAAACAGTTTTTTAATGTTTTCAGTCTAGTGCTAACCAAAAAACGGAGTTTATTTTCTATCAGTGACCATCTCTTCATAACCATCTCTTCATATCCTTGCTTTGGAGACTAATGTTTGTGCTTTTCATCTGATTCTCCTTCCTGAGAATTATTTATGTTGCCTCAGAGGTAGTGATAAGGACTAGAAGTGAACCTATCACTGGGATTGCTCAAGCAGGGTGACATAGGTTATTATATATTCTGCTGTGGGAGTCTAGACTGAGTGACCTTTATGGTCAGAGAGCCATGACTCTTAACATTCTTTATACTTGTAACTCCAGATTTTGTTATCCAGGTCTTTATCTGGACATTAAAAGGGAAAGAGGCTCTGAGCTCCTTTGTGAAGTTAGAACAATCCAAATTGATCTTTCCATGATAAGGGACCACTTCCAGGAACATTTTCCTAATACTGATGTTAGTTAAAAGCACCTTGACAGGCTGAGTATCTCCAATCAGGAAAAGTGGGCCCACATCAATGTCTGGATCCTTGGGGTAGATGTTTGGTTTTACATGATGCTGGAAGTGTCTGTAATTCCACCAGTCAGCTGACAGGCCCTGAGGAGAAGAGAGAACTTATTAACTAAAAGAATTTTCTTCCTAGGCACCCCTCTTTGCTGGAGTGTTCTGCATCTTCAAAGTAAAAATAAGATATTTGGTTTCTCTAGTTGACCCTAATGTTGGGCCACAGCATAGTTTATTAGAAAAGAGGTGCTCAGAGCTATGAAGAAATACTTTTCTATTTCAAGAACATGACTGCAGTCTCAAAAGAACTCACGAGAATAGAAAAATAATCTACACATATGGGATGGTTTTCTAGTCTTCTTTTATAGGAGCCAGTCTGAACGATGATTCTGAAGGTAGATGGAACAGTATTATTCCTATTTTTCATATAAAGGAACCTCATAGCTAAAAGTTTCAATTAGTTTTTTGGGGAAAAGTGGCCCTAGGAATCTGACTTCAATGAGTATTTCAAAGTCAAAAAACTGTGTTCTCTCTACTTGGAGGACTCTGCTCAGATCATTGCAAGTCCCAGCTTAATGCTCTCCTATAAAAATAAATGAGAATAAAAACATTCTAGCAGGCACCAAGTTAGAATCATCTTTGATTATGCTGGTGGTGATTTTCATTCTCACTCTAAGTTTGAGAATTTTAATAGAGCAAACGATCTGGAGATCTCTCAATCTTCTTTCATATACTAGCTATTTAAATTTTTGCTGATATCTAAGTTTTGGCAAATCATTCATTTTCTTAGAGGCTCAATTCCATATCAACATGTTGACATTTATCCATGGGTGGCTCAGGGAGATATGAGATGCTGGAGATAAAATGCTGGCTTTTTGAGAAACCCAGTTTCTTCTCATTTGTGTTAATTTTGTTTATAGAATAATGAACAGCAGTAATATTTTTATTATCTTATTTCCATCTCTTAATAGTTCATATATACACATTATAGATCACCTCTGTCCAATATGGAAGCTATTAACTTAGAGAAACAAAGTCTCAAGATTCACTTTGAGGAATCAGTATAAAAATAAATGCAAAATGTTTCACTAATTCTTATGTTAATCATATATTTAAGTCATAATATTTTGGATATTATATTATAGCCATAAATAGGTAGCTTAAATATAGCTATGTAAAATTAAAGATGAATGTTGTCATTTTTAAAAAATTTATTTTGAGAATTTCATACATCAACATTGTGTCTATCTATCTACATCATTCTTACTTCTCCAACTACTCTTGTGTACTCTACTTCCCTCCCAAGCTCATGACCTCTTCTTTAATTATTATTGTTACATATATACACATTTATATATGTATATATGTGCCCATATACATTTATGCACACACACACACACACACACACACACACACACACTTTGTTTAAAAAAAACAAAAACAGTAAAATTCAAGAAAAGGGACATGAGCTTTCGAGGGCAAAATTGGGGGTAGAGGTAATGGGTGACTAAACAATCTGTGAGGAGCTAGTCCCCTAGGGGAAACTGATTCTCCCTCTCTCAATAACTGTTGATCACCTCTAGTCTATCTAGGAGTAGGAACTTGTATTGTTTTTCATGTCCATGTTGGCATGCCTGCTGGTGTTGTCATTATGTTGCTCTTATTTAGGCAGTCTTATTGTTGAGAGTCTGTAAATGGATTTTCCTTTTTATGCCCAGGGGACACTATCTAACAGCAGGTCCTTTGGTCTTATCATGCCATTTTAATGTAACTTACATATTATTCCTGCTGGAGAATGGTGGTCTATATCACTAAACTTCAAAGGTGATGAATATGCTTTGAAAAACCTGTAAGCATTTGCCCTGCCTTTCCATATTCTTTGTGGAAGCTCTACTATGAGACATTGCAATTATCTACCTACTCACAAACAAAAAGAATGGGTTGTGTGTTCCCCTTTCTCTCCAACACTCCCTAACGCTTTTATAGTGAGGCTTCAGGCTCCAATTCATAACTGCTTCCTGACTGGGCAGTCACTTCCCAGATATGTTATGGTTACTCAGACTTGTGTCCCAAGTTGTGCTTATCACTTGCCTGTGGAGTCTCATTATACTCTGTCCTATTCCTGTCAAGCTATACATTCTCTCACTTCTTCACTCGTTTGCTATTTATTTTGAGTATATCAGATTCTGAGCTAGGTAGGCACTTGTGATGCTAAGAAAGATGTGATATAATGAGGTTCCCACACTAGCAATAGGCAGTCTAATGAGAACAGTTGACAGCAAAATATAACATGATAAGAAATGAATCTCTTGTAAAATTATCTCTTCTCACAGCTGACATTTTGGCCACTTCTATCAGCTGACTGTAGTCTTTTAGGCAATGACTACCTGTGGTAACTGGTAACATGGGAGACAGGTTTTGATGCATAGTAGATCAGGGAACAGATCTTAGCACAAAGCCCTAGAGGTTAGAACAGTGGCCAACATAATGATGGGTGTGTTCTAAACAACTAGTTCTACCTGAATCCTGTGTCTGGAAAACACCCTTACCAGAGACAGAAGTTCTTCATGGGCAGGGGAGGATTTTCAGCCATGTGCCTGGCTACCCTGAGACAGTTCTACATGGGTCCTCTTTAAGCCATTTCTTATTCCTAAATAATGTTCTTAGTTCAGTGCAGGAGAAAGGATCTAGACTTTGGAGTGAAGTCAATTGGAATTCAAATTCTTGTTTGGTCATCTACTACATGTGTGACTTAGGAAGTGTCCTTAACCAGGAAATGGCTGCAGCTCTGAGGGATTACAGGAAACAATTGCCTGACACTTCCTCTTCCCACCCATCAAATGTTTTAAGATACAGTCACAGATGTCAGACTAGGTTGTAATCACAAACATTCTGCTCCATTATCTGTATCTGCTGGTACAGGCTTCTTACTATTTGTAAAATGCTCATATAGGGGGATCTTGAAAAAAATGTTACATGATGTTCATCTCCTGGGTCAGTAGTATCTTTAAGTTCCTAAAAAAATCCTTTGGTATATTTATATGTATATATATATATATATATATATATATATATATATATAT